AATGCCACATGTCAAAAAATAGACAATCATAATTTTTTAAGAAAGACGCGTGACTAAGCATTTGACGTGTATATTTAAATTAAATTCATTTTCTAGAGCTTTAATTTTAAGGCTAATATTATTATTTTTATGAAGCTGTACTTTTAGTTCTGGAGAATTAAAACAAACATAAGTTCCATAAGATAATGGTAACCGTGATAAGCCACAAATGTAAATACTTTGGATCAGCCGATTAGTGGCTTTCTCGCCATTTTGAGTTCCCAGGCTCTCTCTCCTTTGTCTTTATACTCAACAAAAAAGATACTTGATACTGAGTATACATTGTGTAGATCTTCAGGTCATCTTTTATGGTTTGTTAATTAGGTTAAGGTGGTTTGGTACCCTAAAATGGACCAAAAACTTTGTTTAAATGTGGTGAAGAAAGATCAATTGTGTGCTGTTGCACTCAGGAAGAGAAATTAAATTTTGAAAGTTTTACTCAAAATGGTTGCTATGGAAACCAGCCACAGCCTTCTGAGGTAGTGTTTTACAGTATTGATGCCAACACTTCCTGCTCTTTTACAAAACAAGATTTGACTGTCAAATAAACATATCGTGTAAGTTTCTGTTTTGTTCTGTGCAATGAATCTAAGTTTTGACAGTTAACTCTTATTTTCAGTGCTTTTTACAGGCTTTATTTGGAAATAACCTTATTTTATACCACACCCAGTGGACAAATCATCTCATGTCACGTGACAGACGTTAAAATGTTACGATTTTTTTGGGTTATATCATTACGACACTATTGGTCTTTGATTAGCCCAAGTTTCAGGAATTCTACTTAAAAACCTTCTTTTCAGTCGGTACAAAAGTAAACATTTGAGAAAAATGTGCTTTAAGTTTCTGACACGAAGTATTAAATATTTAACAAGCCACAAATAGCGGGGAGGGTGCAGATTGGATCTCGGGGGAGAGGATGCAATGGTTGTTCTAGTTTGTAAAAAGTTACTGCAGTTGTTGGAAATATTCCTTTTCATAAGAGAAATGAATAAGCCTGTGATGGCAATTCGAGGCAAAGCTTTTCACAACTAATTATACCAATCGAGTTGTGCATGTCTTTTAAGTTTTTTTCTAAATAGTTTCGTTCATATATGTTAAAAGTAATCTATATTTTTGGTCACGTTTTTATAGTAAACAGTCGTTGCTATGGCCGTTGCAACGTGAAAAAACTTATACCACTGTGTACTTCCTTCAATTTTGCACTCATCTAGAAGACAATTCGGCAAGATCGTTTCAAAATGTTTTTGACAAGTCCTCAAGGGTCTGAAGTCTTGTATTTCCAAGAAATTGAATTTTTCATGAACATCGCCATATTTTTGAGTACCATACCCCCTTAACAACTTTTGAAGTATTTTTTTCGCTTAAGGTGTGTAAAGATGTAGCATAATATCATAATTGTTAATTATTTCTAGATTACAAACCTTTTCTTCGGCACGAATGTTAGGCTTTCTTCATCTCGCTGGGCGTAGAAAACAGAGGTGGTAGAGGAGGTTGTATTAAACCCTTATGTAGGCAGCGTTACGTTAATAATATTATGAACGCAATATGAAAATAGATTTCGTGTTTTCTAAACGTTTATTATCTTCATACAACAGAGACAGTGGAAGCACATGTAGCCAGTTGAGCTCAGGTTGTGCATACGAACATTTTTGCTTTTAAGATAATGTATTGCTGAAACTGCTCGAAATACACTCACAGAAATGCTCTATTAAAAAAACCTGCAAGTGAAACGGAACGGAAGGAAATGTCAAGACAACGGCAACTATTAAATTTGCATTCGAGACAGACGTTACCTGAAAATGGTCTGTTTGGTCTAGGTCCTTTTCAAAGCGAGCAATAAACCAATATAAGCCATTTTTACGAAAAATCAATAAACGGGCGGGATTTTTCACGATTTGCGATATTAAAATAATGTAAAAGGCCTTTTTTCTTTTGCCATCTTCTTAAAAACACCTAAAAACACCTGGACAACAGTGACCCAGGCTGAAAAAAATTAATTACTTCAGCTCCATGGGCAAATATTGACGAGAGCTCATTTACATTCGCCCACGTGCAAAAGTAATTTTCCGTTGAAGAGTAATTATTCTCCTGTGGAGAAAATTTCCGCAGTCACCGGGAACTGAAAACGCGACAAATTTTCTCAAAAGGGCGTCTGTTCGTGAGCCGAAAAATCACAGAATTTTTTATTTTGATTGTGCTCGAAGGGTTTTTGTGTTATTGCTTAAAATGTGATTGTTTCGATCCATATATCATTAAGAGAGCAGATTACATTTAATAAAGCAAGATCCTGAGTTTTTTTTATTAGTTTTCGGACCATGGCGAATCAGTGATCTTTATAAATTCAGGAACTGGCCCAATAGGGTACTACAACATGTCTCTATCCTTCACCTCTTTTAGTTTGTATATATCTTGCGGTTTTTACTTAGTTTGGAATGTGCTGAGTCACGCCGAAAAAAAACAAAGGTTTTATTTTTAAGGTCTGGAGTTCGGCAGCTGTTTTTATCTATTATCTATAAGCTGTATTAGAAACATGAAATAGAAACTCTTGACGTCAGTTGTAATGCTGAGTATGTACATGATTCAATGCGAAAGAAAAGATTTATGTGAAAATTTGGAGAGACAAATACACGAATAATTTATCTAGGACTAGAGACAAAACGAAGGTTTTTTTTGTCAAGAAGGAGGCATTTTCGCGATATTGAATAACACGCTCGATGAAACGCTTACTCAACAAATGTTTGTTGGTAGTTGGTCCATGTCTCCTACTTGACGTGCTGGTATTCTACTTATGTAATGTCTATTAGTATTTGCATGATAATAGAAAGGAAAGCTCAGTAAAACTACTGAGGTATTGATGAAAAACGGAATTTGAGGTTGTACGAAATCTTTTCTGCAGAGCCA